ATTAAATGTCCATTCCCTATCACCCAGTTTTCCTAGATTAAATATTCATTAATGATGATAATTAGTTTTTACAAAAAATCACTTTGTTATCACTTCCCTGTTTGTTTTCCTTCTTCTCAAATGTTGCATAACAACTATCAGTTGGTTGCAAAAATCTGTCTACAAACTTGGTATTGAATCGAATAGAATAAATATTACCTTGACAAACGTTCGCTGATCTCATAATTACCTATTATGTAATTCCATTGAAATGTATCATAGTTGTATACTTTTTGATACTTTAGTTCAAAATATTGCACAAAATCATAATGATGATTATAACAAGAAGAAACTACACTGTAGTAAAATCTAGCATTATGCTATTCGAAATTATCAAGCTACAAATGAGAAAAGATTTCCAACTGAAATTAAAATATACCTAAACTTTCATAAATGTTGGATTTATAAAATGAATACGGATATTCAGCTGATGAAGTACTGACCAAAGATAATAACAAGTATTCGTGCACTCTTGCAAGAAATGTTCATTATGACCAGAGTATTGTTTTCAACCTCAATAAAACTTTTAATTAGTCATACATAGTACAAACGGATATTTTATTAATTAAATATTTATATCTTGATTGAATAAGAAAGTGATCCTTTACTTAAGTTTTATTTTCTAATACATTCGGTTTTAGGTTGGAATATATTCCATTTACTGTATAAAACATAATATTCTTTTAATACCAATCAATGATAAAGCTGAGATTAAAATAGTAGTAACAATAAGACTGGTGTATTATGGAAAATTTTCCGACAACATTTTACATTTAAAATAAAATAAAAAATGATATCAGTTCATGAAACTATACATAAAATGGTCAAAAAATTAGCCGGTGTAATAAATAACTATAACGTAATCGAAATTGAATTGATATACATAAACTGTACGGTGTTACGTTCAAGGATTTACAAATTACAGCAGTAAAATGACTACATAATAGTTATAAAAAAACATGTATATTTAACACTATTAAATGGACTAGTACACAAAAGTGACTAGTTTTTAAAGATATAATGTAATGGGTTAACTGCGTTTAGAGATATTGTTTGACATCTAATTACTTTGAAAGAAATATAACTTATCTAACAGACGATTTCAAATTATAATCAGAGAAGTTTTTTATGGATATTATAGTAATTTCAATAGTTGAGATCATGATTGAATTGAAGCTAGACCACCATGGAAAACCTTGAAGCACTGGTTGAAATTAGACATTAACATCGTTGGATACTGGCCATCTCATTGGTCTAGTGGTTAAGCGCTCGCGCACGAGACTGACAGGTCCTGGGTTCAAATCTCGCGAGGCGAGTTCGTGGATGCGCACTGCTGAGGAGTCCCATAATAGAACGAAACGACCGTTCAGTGCTTCAAGGTTTTCCATGGTGGTTTAGCTTCAATTCACTCATAATCTCAACCACTTAAATTTCGAATTAAATGGTCAAAATATTTATATGGATATTAAATTGGCGCTTTCCTATTCAAGACCGAAATCACAAGGCTACTTGATGGGCAAGTTAGAAATTATACTGTTTGCATTCTAATTAACATCAATATTTCAAATTAAAAAACACCTAAGGATTTAAAAACTGGTTAATGATTAAGTAGAAAACAACTTAACGTCATGGATTCTATAAATTACAGTTTTTATTAACAAAAGCTTATATTCTAAAGATTAAATATCAAGGTAAAGAATAATAGCTATGATTGTAAGTCTCAAATTGATTTAAAATGAAGTGGTTGATGTGATAAATGTCTGACAATAATATGAAATAAACAAAACAGTCATTCGAATTTCTACCGCTAAATTTCTGACGAATACATTCTTTTACAAATTTTGGATTCATTTGCAAAACTCACTTAACCTAACAATCAAAAACAATATTCTGTTTGCTGCTTTTTCACTTGATTTGAAAGAAGAATGGTAGAGCGAACAGACATAATTGATAAGCAAAACAATACATTAGTGTGTTAGTTTACCACACTCAATTAAAATGGGTTTAGATAGGAAATAGGTACATGATCATGACATGTTGATTATATATAACAAAACACTAAGTAGATGAAATGATTAAATTAAAGCTGGTAATATTGTCTAAATTATTTCTAGCTCCGTCTGGGAAAATACAGTCTAATGGGTGAATTGTCAAGTTAAATAAGTGACTGCAATCAATAAGAGGCCAGTTATCATCTCTTTACTAATAATCATATGTTCCAGTGCAACAAAGTTAATTTAGATCAATCTTATTAATTATCTGCCATTGTATGTTTTTTATTTCACATATATTGGACAATACTTATCAGTTACTTTAAATCACAAAACTAGTACTTTAGTTTTAAAAGATACTCTTTGAGAAAAACTTTCCTTAAAAATTCAATTGAAGTCTAAGGGAAGAAAAGTGTAATCTTAAGACCGACAATCCAATAAATATTTCATAATTGAGTGAATTCTTTTACACAACATAAGAAACGATATCACAAGTGGGTTGGTGCTACTTGCTGTTTTATGGCCTGTCATTACTATAATCAACTAACTTGCATACATAATCAGTAATTCATGTTATTAGTTACCTCCTTGATCTCAGCCGTAGTAATAATATTTGCGGAATATGGTAAATTCATTGTATTTAGTTGTTTTATCTTCAGCCATATACAAACTAATAGGTTTAATCATTTCCAGTTATTAACACAATGTTGCAAAACAAATTGTCAATCAACAATACATGACTTGCTCGGATTGTAAAAAGGGCTGAAAATTGAAGTGTTTAGAACTTATTAACTTGCATACGACAGAAAAAAGGATGATAAAATTCAGTCAGTTTGTCTTATTCTGCAAACGCTATGGCCCCTACTTTTTTAACTTATGGAAATTTTTGTTTGATATTTTGCCGTGTTTTTTAAAGAGCCATCTTCTTACTGCTAAACGTTTAAGGTAAGGCGTTCTCTTTAAATAGTGAATGAATAAGGAAACATTTATCAATAAATACGATGAATGATGCCTCTTTTCTCATCTTACTTTTATCAAGTGTAATCAATGGGTTCCCATTTCGTGGTTTTTTCAGCACTAATCACATACTGATATTCAATGCACTGTCTTTCTTGTAAACGTTAATAAATCAAACAATTCGTTCATTCTGTACGACGCAATTTAATCACAACCACTTTGAAGAGGATTCAATAAACATTTACCTCAGATTTGTTGACGACTTTGATGAATACATAAAGCTTTTGCAATGACAAAATAATAATATCTATAATATTCTGACTGCAGCTGCTACGTTTACATAGTTTTCAGGCTTAAATATTAACCCGATTACGCAATGTCAGTCGGTACAATTTTTCTTCCAGATCCAAAAATTTCAGATAGACTGGTCGAGAATCGGTGGAACTGAAAGCAGTAACTTGAGGTTTGAGGATGAAGTTGCAAAACCGAATGTACAGAGGTGTAATGACAGTAAAATGTCTTGCTCTGATAACTAAAAACTACATCGGTGTCGCCCACGCACAAAAAAAGAAGAGAGTTAAAAACACTCGGCTCTTAAAACACCAAACTTCGTACAGTCCTGCGGAACTGCATCTCTGATAGTAAGGTCTTTAGATGTACGAAGATAAGGAAATACAAATCTCACACGAACAGCTGATGTGTGACTGGTCTCAAAAAATTATTCCCTGGGCTCCGCCACCATATTTCTAGTTTAAAACGACTGCTACCAATCCGGTTTGATTTTACGGTAGCCCAAGAAAACGTATCTTTATGCATTATGAGAGAACGCAAAGTGATATCAACCTTCAGACCCCTAACATTACTAGAGATTCTCTTTTAGCGACCGACCTAACTATTTATATCTGTTACTTGGATTTTATCGGCTAACAACTGAGACCGCCTGAAGTGTTTGTCAAGAAAAATGTAAACAAGAATTAGATCGACCGTCTATTAAACTCTGTGATCAAATACACGTAAAGATTGTAAAATTTTGGTTAGTAAATAATTTTTGTAATTGTTTCTTCCTATCAAATCCCGTCTACTTTGCATATGTTTACCTATTAGTCTAAAGAATATTCAGCATATATATTCACCACTTTGTTTCGGCTACAAAAACACCTTCACCATTAGTTATGATCTGCATTACATCATTTTTTACAAATATATTGTTTATTTGCGTGAAAATTCATAAGTCAAGAAAGTAAAACTTTCGGTAAATCTGCTGCTAATATTTCTCAACCAGGTCAAAATTTGACATCTAAATACTGGGGATAAATGGTAACTACTTTATGTATGGCATTTTAAATTGTAAGCGGCTAGAGTGCAGATCAAATAAGACTATAATACAGACAAACCAGACATGGTTTACATAAATTAAAAACAATCATACAAAATGCAACCGAACAGTTTGTAGTGTTTTTATTATGCAATAAAGTTTGATCGCAGTCGAAAATAAACGGCCTACCCTGTGGGATGAGTTGACAAAAGAGGCACATTACCAGCAAAAAAATCGGGAGTCATTTAAAAGTAACCTACTCCTTGTTAACTGATAATAGGAGATGCATTTCAAAATCATAAAGGCAAAAATTGTATGAGGTAAGATCAGTATCCAAGTAACAGTGGTAAACCTTTTCCTGATGCAAATTCACAGTTTACACTGCAAGACCAGTTTGAGTAGATAATTGTTTAGCGGTTGGATAATAAAGATAATGTTCAGCAGTTCTGAAATTCCTGACAATTATATACCTGCTCCTTGTTAACAAACAAGGGCTGAACCTAGTACTTTGAATGAAATAGCCTCTCATCCCACTTCTTTAAATTAAAGATGTTTTGATTTTTTTCTCAACAGTTCTGTTAATATCATTATATGGATGTGCTTGAAAGAGTTCAATACATCCCAGGCCCATTAAGAATATAAAAAATAACAGTAAGCAAAAGGGCTGAAAAATACCAAAACGCTCACTATAAACTAACCTGCAAAATGTATAAAACCATCAAAATACAAATCCCTGAAATATCATCTGAAGGTCTTATTCTTTTTCTACCTGGCTTTTTTTGACATAACATCGTTTTATAAAAACAGTCGTCAAGACACTTCTGAATTCAAATGGATCAATATTTTATCGATAAATTTCTATCATCAAGAGTTAAACCTCTGAATTCAGCATCAAATAAGTATATCGTAAATGCCCTAATTTCCAAGTAACAAAGATTGTTTTTGAAGATGTAACAGACTCTAAAAGTAAAAAAAAAAGTAATACGTGGTGCATAAAAACAAGTCCTTATGGGTTTAAAAAGCTAAAGATTTTGAATAATTTCTGAAGATATTCATCTTTAAATTTACACAACACTGAAGAATTGATGCATAAGTAAGGAATTTCATTTTCGGACATCTGAAATTCTCAGCCTAAATCAGTCTTCAGTAATAATGATAGTAAGTTGGTGGACTTGTGTTAATCTCTACAGCTTGTTTTCCAGTGAAGGCTCAGCTTTTCCTCGAAGATCACTGATGGGACTGAGAATAAATGCTCGGGTAAGGCATCCCAGTAATTAAGACAATTTTTTTCCGTGAGAAATATGTCATGATTTTCGTGGCTCTGCATTAAAAATGAAATAGTGTAAGGTCTTATATGGGACTTCAAGCTCAATAGCGATTGACTGCCGCATATGAAAAACCCTTTAAAGTTCTTCACTGTGAACCTAAGTCCTATACCATCAATAAGCATGGAACTAGCGATTATGCCAGCGTTTGAAGACCTCTTACTTCGAAGAAAACCCTTTCTTATGTTAAATTTCTTACTAGGTAATCGAAAAACACAAGCCTCATGATTAAGATTCAGTCCTTGATAGGTGATGACTACGACAGAACTCCGCTGGTGTTTAATAACCACCCCAGAACAATACACTGTTGAAGAACCGTCAGGTCTCTAGTTTTTGCACACTTTGAATGCTTACACAAGTATGATTGTATGTCGACAAGCACTTGCATTTTAGTTTTTTCTTTATCATGACAACTGGGAAAGATGAAACGCTGACGACAAATACAAGGAATCGCACTTTTAATCATACAATTTCTGGTTACGTTATACCACATTGCTTCTAACAGTAGAGAAAGACAACCATATGCTTTTTGACACATGGTTGACATATACTTACCAGTGTCAAGCTCGTCAGGCTTAAACTTCTGGCTTCTAAACCCTAGGGTCATTACTACCTTTCTAGGATGGCAATGGGCTTTAGATACAAATAAATTCCCAAAATAAGTAGTTCTGTAAGTCTACGACATCGCTTCCGACCTTATTGGTTCTTCATGCACATTTTTCCCTTTATTATCGTAAAGAGAGCAAGAACAAAGGTTGGTGCTGCACCACTCTTTGCTGTGTGGACGTTTTCCAGGGAACTAAATGAGCGATTCTAAGAAGACAATTAACTGTGAACACCCAGTCACAGTTTATTCACCTCATCCAAGTATTCCTATCTTGCCGGCATTTGCAATGACAATCGCAGTGTATAAGCGTTACTTCCGTCTAAACAATGATGAATTAAAATTGTACTGTATATTAAGACATTGAAAGGTAACACATGAATTTTTCGCGGATCATTTGCGCTCTTATATTTTTTCAATTGCGATTGTGTATTTGATGTGTTCATGCGAAAATCAAACACTCTGAACTACTGCTATACCTGTACTTCACGACGATGGATGGGCTTCTTATATAAGCACTCAGCCTATCACTCTTGCGAAATAGATCGGTAAGCGCCTGAAAAATAATTTGCAATGTTTTGTTCTCATTGTATGACTTGTTGGTATGATATTTAGTATGGGTGCAATGTATTCGTTGACAAATGCTTCGGAAGCATCTGGAAGCGGTGGTGAGAACATTCCTGTTTTGGATGAATCGCTTCACAGACATGTAATCAATGGATGTTTAAAAGTTCCCTGCCAAAATGTTGGCCACCGGATACCCAACTGGAACACATTTGACTTCAATTTCTTTTTGTTTAGCGATCATAGCAACAAATTTATGGTATGTTTATCACTACCTCTTCAGCTTCTCAGTTTTACACACCTCGGCGAATGATACCATTATTCCCTTGACTATCTGGTAGTCATCTGGAAGTATATAGTTTTAATTGATGACAAGTTAACACAATGGTGTAGTACGGTGAGTGTTCTCAAGGAAAAGCGCCATTTAAATATGTGTAAATGTACTATCATCACTGTAAAAAAATTGCTAGCCACTTGCTAGAGATAACTAAAACTTGCTTCCGTTCGTCGTCATCTACAAGGACTTACTGTTTGAACTGATGCTATGAGTCAATGAGATGGTGTTAGGAATCTAGTAAAATATTACACGTAATAATTTGACTGTACTTAAGCTACTTTCATTCAAATGTAACAGATTATCATCTGCTTGGGGAAATAGAATAAAGTATAGCAAGCACTTGTGACCTTCATAAAGGCGGTTGTGGTAAAGAGGACGGTATTATGGGATTCTCCTGGTGAGAATCAGTCCTAAAATTAGCTTAAGAAAATGTGTTATATTAACCGATTGCCCTGTCAAGCCCTACGAAAATCAAAGTAAACGAAAATCGATTTGCATTTGGAAAGCTTCATCTTTGGTAGACTTTTCTACAACGACGTTATACAAAAGTCATTCGGGTAAAAAATGGCCTCGAAAAACCAGTCAGTTTTTATGTTCGATTTTACCCTTCGCAAAACATTGCTGTCAGAGCACATGAGCTAAATACTTCGTTGTCCCCAATATCCGAGTGACATTAATCCTACATTGGAGCACACCTTTTATCTTCAGTATATATGCTGATAACAAATTTTTATGTAAACAGTCTCTGGAAGAGATTTACAGTTTGTAGTACATAACGACAATAATTTCTCGGACAACGATAAGTTATGTAAGGAACCTCAGTTAATCAATGAAATGAAGGTTTTGTAAATCTTACGGGACTTACTGTGATAAGTTATTCGGTTAGGTTTACACATACAATATACATTCTCAAAAAACAACAAAGGAATATATTTTAAATCGTTAGAATATGGTTAAAAGTAGTGAAACTGGGATGCATAATGTCAAAGTGTCTAGTGAATGTTATGTGGCCAACTAACAATGTAAATAAGGTTCATATCTCTTCTCAATATAGAAAATTATCGTAAAAACACAATCGTTTAGTTGAAAAAGCTCGTCTTAACATATCACTCTCTGCTTCTTGTGAGCAGTCTCCAGGCAACTTTCGGGGCAGATTTCTGGTGGAATAGAGTTTTAATCTTTCCGAAAAATCTGAATCATAAAATGAGACATTCGATGGAGTTATGTAAATGTAAAACATGTGGCCTGAGTGCATTGTTAATAGATGAAGTATTAATAACGCCAACCAGGGGGCAGTGAATTATCGATCGGACCAAGGACATGTAAAACACGTGCGAGCAGCCTATAGTTCTAATTGATCCTGCTTTCCGCCTCTCTGAGTGAGTTGAGTCCAGAACACCAATCTTAGCCCCTGAAATATGAATTATGTATTTCAAACATACTCGGTTTATATACTGATCAAACAGTCCACAACGTACTATAAAATAGAAAATAACATTTGTACAAGATTTGGCCAAATGTGTCTGTGAATGTGGAAGGCAGTAATAAATAGACTGGGCATAATTCAAGAACGGCAAATCGTATAATAATAGTTCATAAGTCAAAACAAAGCTTGTGATAAAAAGAGTATAAATATGCATAGTTTAGTTAATAATTACACAATAAAAATATACGTATGGTATTGGTCCACAAATGGATCCCAAAATTTACCACTCACTATTCTTATCGGGACATAACACTACACCATATACTTGTTTTTGGCAGTGGATCATGAGGATGCCTAAAAGAACTGGAGGGACAGAAAAAATACAGACAGCAGGGTGAACACTGTATACTACTGGCAAGGTCTATTATTTGTGATAGGAAAATTAAGACGTGATAAATTCAGTCTATTTCTGATTAGACAGACTGTTATGCAAGTGCTTTTAAGTGAATCAGTGAAAATAGGTCTCCAATATGGCAAGAGTTGAATATAAAACTCTACTGATAGAGATTAGAATGAACGAAACCAGATTGATTTTGTTTATATTTAGAATGTATCACGTAAATACAGAGTTCTGATATGAATAATTCAATTTTTTGTCAGCAATTTTCAGGATTATTACCAGTCTTTTGAGTCTCAGAGTAAGAGTCTAGGTTTTCTTGCAAGAAGGTTTCTAAGTAGTAAGTAAAGCTATCTTCAATTTTTCCCAACTTCTATCTGTTGTGACCTTATGTCCGGCTTTCTATCACGTGATTTATTCACCAATCAAAATACGACTTACACAATTTTAGCACTGTGCCAAATCAATGACGTTCGACCGGTCTGATCAGCCTAGCGTCCTTATTGGCCCTATGTTTGCCCAGCCCGTCCACTTGAATCCAGAACACCAATACCAGCCTCCACCATGCGAATCAAAATGAATCGAATCATTAATTTCAGACATACTGGGTTTATATATCAAACAAGCAGATCGCAACGCACCATAAAATAGGAAATAACATTTGTACACAATAAAGTCAGAAAGTGGCTGTGAACGTGGGAGGCGATAGTCAATAAACTGAACATAGCTTAAGAATTGTAAATCGTACAATAATAAATTATAGGTCAAAACAAAGCTTATAACAAGGGGAATATAGACATACATAATCTAGTTACTGAATAGTTATACCATGAGAATATATAAATAATATTAGTTCATTAATAGTCCTCAGGAGTTACCCGTAATTCAATCTCCACTAGGATATAACACCATCAAAAGAAGTGGTTTGCGTAGGAAAACAACATTACATCTGTCAGTGATCTCACGTTGGACCATAAGGGGACTTATGCAAACGTATTGCTTCACACACACTGTATACTCGTATTTATCTCCCTTCGATGAAGATCCTTCGCCTTAGTTAACTGAAGATAAGGCTATGCGTGTTCACAATAGTAGTTCACCTCATTTCCATATAAACGAATTACCTATAATTAAAAACCCAAGCCTATGGAAGCACTACAACGTAATACATGTCCTGGCGAAATAAGGATGTGTTAAACATCCAGGTGAAATTGTCCAAAACTTTGACTTCAACGCCACTACATAATTCGTGAGGGACCGTTAAAGGTCATTTTTTGTGAACATATTCGCGTTTTGTATAAGTCCCTTC